GAGAGAGAGAGAGAGAGAGAGAGAGAGAGAGAGAGAGAGAGAGAGAGAGAGAGAGAGAGAGAGAGAGAGGTGGCAGGACATAACCCCTCCCTCTCCGCAGCACGAAGGGGGTCCAGCGTTCCGGGAGCGCCGGAACCCTTTGGTGCTGTGGCCATTGAGGGCGCGGAACGGACCCCATTCCTCGCTCACAAGATCAAGGTGTTGTGGCCATTGAGGGGGTGGGACGGACCCCCTTCCTCCCCCGCAGCACGAAGTTGCCGTGGCCACCGAGGGGGCGGGGCGTACCCCCTCCTCCCCCGCCGCAAGAAGGGGGCCCGGCGTTCCGGGAATGCCGAACCCTCTGGGTGACGCGGGCAGCGAGGGTGTGGGACGGACCACTTTCCTTCCCCGCAGCACCAAGGCGCTGTGGGCATCGAGGGGGTGGGACGGACCCCCTTCATCCCGCGCAGCACCAAAGGGGTCCGGCGTTCCCGAAATGCCTGACCCCCATGCCGGTGCGAGCATCGAGGGGGTGGGACTGAACCCCTCCTCCCCCGCAGCACCTAAGGGGTCCGGCATTCCGGGAACGCCGGAACCCCTTGGCGCTGCGGGCACCGAGGGCGTGGGACGGACCGCACTCCTCCCCCGCAGCACCCAGGGGGTCCGGCGTTCCAGGACCGCCGGACCCCCTTGGTGCTGCAGGCATCGAGGGGGTGGGACGGACCCCCTCCCTCCCCCGCAGCACCTAGGGGGTGGGAAGGACCCCCTTGGTGCTGCGGGCATCGAGGGGGAGGGACGGAACCCCTCCTCCCCCCGTAGCGCCAAGGGGGTCCGGCGTTCTCACGGAGGGCGTGGGACGGACCGCTCTCCTCCCCCGCAGCACCCAGGGGGTCCGGCATTCCCGGAACGCCGGACCCCCTCGATGCTGCGGGCATCGAGGGGGTGGGACGGACCCCCTCCCTCCCCCGCAACACCTAGGGGGTGGGACGGACCCCCTTGGTGCTGCGGGCATCGAGGGGGAGGGACGGAACCCCTCCTTCCCCGCAGCACCTAGGGGGTTCGGCGTTCCAGGAACGCCGGACCCCCTTGGCGCTGCGGGCACCGAGAACGTGGGACGGACCACGCTCCTCCCCCGCAGCACCCAGGGGGTCCGGCGTTTCGGGAACGCCGGACCCCCTCGGTGCTGCGGGCATTGAGGGGGTGGGACGGACCCCTTTCCTCCCCCGCAACACCTAGGGGGTGGGACGGACCCCGTTGGCGCTGCGGGCATCGAGGGGGAGAGACGGAACCCCTCCTCCCCCGCAGCACCTAGGGGGTCCGGCGTTCCGGGAACGCCGGACCCCCTCGGCGCTGCGGGCACCGACGGCGTGGGACGGACTGCGCTCCTCCCCCGCAGCACCCAGGGGTCCCGGCGTTCCGGGAACGCCGTACCCCCTTGGTGCTGCGGGCATCGAGGGGGTGGGACGGACCCCATCCCTCCCCCGCAGGGCATGGGGAGGGGGGGGGGGGTCCATCAAGGGGGCGAAACGAGGGGGTGGGACGGACCTGCTTCATCCCCCGCATCACCAAAGGGGTCCGGCGTTCCGGGAATGCCGGACCCCCTTGGTGCTGCAGGCGTCGAGGGGGTGGGACGGACCCCCTTCATCCCCTGTAGGGGTCCGGCGTTCCGGGAGCGCCGGACCCCCTCAGTACTGTGGCATCGAGGGGGTCCATCCCACCCCCTTCTTCTCCGAAAAAACCGGGCTTCGGGGGGAGAGAGAGAGAGAGAGAGAGAGAGAGAGAGAGAGAGAGAGAGAGAGAGAGAGAGAGAGAGAGAGAGAGAGAGAGAGAGAGAGAGA